TTTCTTTCACATTTGGGCTTCCAGTAGCCTGCAGCTGCAAGTAGTCCTCTGTTAGCAAAAACTGGCCTCTGCTTCTCTGTTTTATGCCTTTTTCATTTAAGACAGCCAGTGCTTTTTGTGGGTCAAAGACAAGTCTCCCCATGAAAGCAAGTTCAGTATCAGTGCAAATCTATGGCAATTCATCAAGGATTTCATTGGTTTTCAAAGACCCTGTTTTTATTGTCATTTATCCACCCGGAAGCTGGTTAGTGATGTGACATTTGCCAATGATCTAACCAAAAGGTCATGTATTTATTTTTGTTACGCTATATTCTTTGTAAATGTTTAATTAAAATGTGCACTTTTTAAAAAAAAAAAAAGAATTCTAAAAAATAAAAATAAAAACACACACAGAGCAAAAGAAAAGATCAGTTGGGTTTGCTTGAGAAGCTTCTCCCTGGCACGGTTGTTTTAATCCTGCTGCCTGCACACAATGCACTCCTCTCCCCACAGCAGATTTAACTTGCTGATTAGCACCTGGCATCCAGCAGGCATTACTTCAGAATGGCAGGAGATCTGCACTGGCAGCATGGAGGACTGGGAAGTATTAAGTGTGTGGTGGCTCAGAGCAGTAGGTACAGGATGGATGCGGAACTATTTTTAGAGTAGAACTAGTTCAGGGATCCCAAGTGGGAAAGAGTGGTTAATCTGGAAGGAAAGCTGAACTGGTTTTCAGCCACTTTATTCCCCTTCTCTTAATTTGAGATTTGGCTGCTGATTTTACAAGCTGCATTCCAAAACAATAAACCAAAAGGCTTTCCAATCCTTTGACACCAGGAAGTAAAGGTACGTTGTCAGTGAGTCACCCTGCTTTAAAAAACGAGAAAAGCACAACCACCTTTCTTTTGCAGGAACAGTGATAGTTTAGCTGTAACCCTGAAACCTGTCACTGTGAGCAGCTTTTAAAAGCATACAGTACACTGATGGCTCTCTTTGCTGTGCTTGGGAACTCATTTCCCTGAGCTTTTGAATTTGCTAGCTGTAGAAGACGCTGATTTTGCAGAAACCTGAAGGTATCACGAAGCTCAGTTGGTGTGGAAGGAGCCAGACTGATGACGAGAAACAGGGTGCTTTCAATCCTACTTACTGTGTGCTTGTGGCAGGTTCAGGTCAGTGGATGGATATGGCATAAACCTGTACATCTTTGGAGGAAAGGGACCAGATCCAATTGGTAAAGAGTCCACATTTCAAGAGTTTTGCCTTGCAGTGTGTTTTCTAAATGTATGTAAGCTCTGGCCCGCAAAGAGAGTAGCTTGGGCTAGTTAGAGTAGCACAGATTGAATACAGTGACCTGTTTGTGTTCTGGCAGTGGAGGTGCAGTTTGTGGCTTGCTGTGTAAGTGGTGAGTTCAGGTCTCACTTTCATCAGTGAGAGGCGGCAGAAGACAGCCGGCCTCAGGAGCTGTGTGCTGGCAGTGAAGGGGCCAGGGGCAGGCTGTAATGATCCATGGTTGGCACACTTTGTACGCTGACCACGTACTGTACTCATGGCTTGGGAGCAGCCGCTTCACCCAGTCTCAGCCTCAGTTATGTATTTCTCTAAATTAGGGGATAGCTGAGCCAGAGCAGGGGGAAGGAAAGGCTTGAGGCAGCTAGTTACCTGGAAATGGCCGCTCAAGGATTAAGGATGTTCAGGTGCTCTCCACAAGTTGTGTTTTATCCAGGTGCCACTCCATGTTTTTTGTCTGTGTAATGACATTTATTTATGTTAAAACATGAATTTTACAAAGTTCTAGAACTTCAAGTTTTGTAGGAGGTTTGAAACTGTGCTGCTTATAAGGACTTCTAGGAATGGGAAGGGGAACAGGGCAAGAAAAGGTGCTAGATGGCAGCCAACCCCTCCATAGACCTGTCCACAGCTTGGTTGTTCACATGAAAAGTCAGTTGTTTCTACTCTAGGTTTCTAATTTGGAATTGTTTTGGAACAACAATTTTCAGGGAAGCCTTCAGAGCGAGGGTTATTATTCTCCCTTTGTAATGTAAGCTGGTAAGAGTAAGTTCACCTCATCTGCATTTCTGATTCTTTACCCCCACCATGTCAGCACAGAACAGGGTATTTGAGCTCGACTCCCACATACTTGTGGAAGTTAAAAGACTAAATGAAAATCCATTATTTGGGGGGAAATAAATTCTTATTTACATGTCCCCAAAAATCTAGAAACATCCCTGTTGTGTTTTGGGTTTTTGGTTGTTTTGGTTTTTTGTTTTTTGGTTTTTTTTTTACTTTTTTTTTTCTTTGTGCTTTATCTGTGTTTTTTTAAAACAAAATTGTACTGGGTTATAATGCATTTTATTAACACTATGTACATATTAGCTGCTTTGTGTTTCAGGATGGTAGTAATTGCTTTGTATATTAAAGTGATTCTTGTGAATTTGTGAATTATTGTCATAAAGAAGTGCTTTTTCTTACTGTAACCTTTGTGGTATAAACTGTCATAACTCCCTTTTTACACAAACATTTATGTGCAGTCACATAAACATGCTTTAAAAAACTCTACAAAGTCTCTTTTTTGAGCAGGATGTTCCATTTACACTAATTTAGTGTAAATTAGACAGGAATACGGGAAAAAGCGTATCTTGAGCAGACTATGGTGGCCTCTCACAATCTGTGGCCTGCTGTAAGTATTCATGAGGCTTTCCCCAAGGGGAAGGCTTTTATAATTGTAATTAAATGGAATTAGATTGAGTGAGAGGTTAAATCCTGAAGTGAGGGGTTAAGTCCCGAAAAACAAAGTTTCTCTTCCACTCCTGGTATTTGTAAACCTGCTTTCCAGTATCCATTCTGGCGGCAATTAGCCCTGTTGTTTAATAACACATAGAAGACTTTCCCCTCTCACAGTTTAAATATGCTGTCTTTCTCGCTTTTAAGCATTCCTGTAAACCCTGTACTACTGATGTTAATAAACAGAGCAGAACAGAAGGCAGCAAACACTGTAAGGATCATGACCTGATTATGCAATCTACAAGGCTGGATCCAAACACTGGGATGAAAGCCAGAGGAACAAATTCAGCACCGAGGTAAACACACCTCCAGTGAAATCAAGGGGATGCAATAAGGTTGGCTCATTAGAGCTAGGAATTTTGTGGTTTTCACAAGTAAGTGTTTTCATAATGCCATTCACGTACTACATCAAGTCTACATCTTGGTAATGAGGGAGAATCCCAAACAGGGGTTAGTCCATGAGGTAAAAATGCAGTTTGGCTTGAATTTCACACTGAAAAGAATTGGGTAACGCAGCTCCCTGTGCAGTCAGTAGGTCAGCAGTTAAGCATCATTCTTCTGACACTGCTGTACCCTGAAGCTCTTAATCCATAAAATACAGAGCTGAAATTCATATTCCGTGTCTTCCTATTAATCAAACATAAGTTTGGTTGCAATGACATTTTAGAAGAGTTTGTTTCCTTGCCACATGGTGTGTTTCAGGGATAGTTTCACAATCTCACAGCATGTTCATGTCTTATCTGGTCACTTCCCTATGACTTGGATCCTCTCCCTAGGGTATTTATTTCTCAAGAGACTATGCATTGCCCCACGACTCAGGGACCCGTGCCCAAACACATCCTCCCTACACATGAGTTCACTGTGTGTTACAAAACAGGGCTGATACAATGGAACCACCGAAAGGGGAATCACACTGACTTTAGCACTGGGATGAACAGGGTGACAGACAGTGCTTGGGCAGGGTGTTTATATCATTGCCAAACAGCCACTGAAGCATTACCGTGTGTCATACTAGAGCAGGAGCTCACCAGGGACCAATGGATTAGGACAGCAGTCTGCACAGGTATCGTCCATAGCAGAGGGCTGCTGTCTTGTGTGCTCACTCATTGGGCAATTACTTCTGTCCTCCATGTCTGGCATGGTTTGCTCCTGACATCTCCCTGAAGCTAAGTGTCATGGGAATATAAAGAAGCTGCAAAGCCCACCCTGGGACACAGAAGGCACTGCTCTCTGGCTGGTGTGGAAGCAGTGCTTTCAGTGGGAATGGGCTGTAGGTTTCAGCTGAGCCATGTTCTCACAGGTGCTGCCTGCCCCTGAAGTGTAGGTTATAAAACAACCAGAACTCACGTGCTTGTGGTGGTGGCCTAAATGTAATTCCTGGGTCTGGTGTCCTGAATGTAATGAGCGCCCGCACCCCTGTAGCAGTCAGAGGAGAGGGTATCCCCTTCTCCCCAAAGTGCCACTTGCTGAGATGCAGAGGGGCCACCAAGAGCCCAGTTTGCAGGCAAGGCACTCACCTGAGGTGCCTTTTCTCCAGTATTTCCTTATGAGCAGTAGCATTGCTTCAGCCTTCAAACATGTTCCCTCGGATTTGCATACAGCTGCTCTGCAACAACACAGCAAAAGAAGCCAAGCGTGGTCTCTTCTGGCACATCCCTGCTGTCGCAGGAAGGCTATGGGGTGTAACAGCAGCAGTGGGAAAACAAGACACTGAAAGCTGCTGAACAATTGGAAGGAGACACAATTAAACTGATTTGTTTTAAAAGTGCAACACTTCTCCTGTTAAAGCAAGGCCTGGAGCAAAGCCCCCTTTGTAAAAGTGTGTAGGTCGCGCACTAGGCTTTATTCTGTACTTCACAGGGCTATTTAAGCAGGATTTCAAGCATGTTCCTGCTATGGCTGTGGCTCTCAGTACTGCAAGCTGCAGCCTCTTGAGAAGGCTCCGCACAGCCAAATAGCAAGCTTTCCCACAGGCAAGTCACATGCACTCACAAGCCCAAGCACCAGCACGCTGCTTTCTGCCATCTCCAGCCTGGGGATGCCTAATACACAGTGACCACAGGGGAGCTCTGACCCAAGTAAACACCAGTGGGGAGGAAAAGAAAGAGGGGTGGTGAGAACTTACAGCCACACTCCAAAACCTAGAGCCAGAGAAGAGACTGGGGAGAGCTGGTAATGTTTTTCTACCGTTGCTCAAGCAGTAGATAGGGCAGAAAGAGTCAAGTCTGGCGCACTAAAGCTCATACCATGTTCTGGTTTTAATTAAAGCTGCTGTCTTCCTTCCCTCATAGGGACTTCAACGCTAGTTTCAGACTGCAAAGCCCCAGCCTGCTGCGTAAGTACTGTTCTAGTGACACCATGTGGCTTCTAAGGATACTGTTGTAAGCGTTAAGAGCAGCAACTCTCTGCAGGCCAAGCCTAGAGCCAAGCAAGAAACAGCTGCACACACGGGAGACACAGCAGGGATGAAGCACAAGACCTTCGGGCCTTATTCATAAGCTGTGATGATGAATGTGTCATTTCCATATTACAGTCTGCACATCACTTCTGGACCACAGACCCTCTGCATCTTTGCCAGCTGGAAGTTTGATGGAAGCAGAAGGGATAAAGAGCTTCTAATGTCTGTGGCCCACAGCAACTGCTGGTGTTTGCTGTTGCCGCTGACAAAGACAGGCAGATCCTTAAAGCCTGAACCTAACCTGGGGCTTTGGAAAAAATAAGTTCCACATCCACCAAAAGAAAAAGGTCCTATAGCAATTCCTGCATTTAGAAGCGTAGCCACCTTCTGTTGGCCCATTGTTTTCACCAGATCCCTTCTTCCACCACTAGAAAGAAGGAAGTCTGCTGCTGATGTGAGCCAGATTCCAGGTTGCAGCATTTCTCACATGAAAGCTTGTGGAATAAACACAGAGGTGTTTTTACACGCTCAAGGTATGAGATCGTTTACTTAGAACACTGTGCCCAGAAAGCACACAGACATCTACACTGCTCCCAAGTAATACAAGTAAGTACTCCCCAGTTACAAAATCTTTACAGCAGCACCCTATGCTCCTAAGTAACAGCTCTTGGAGACAGTGTGCCACAAACAGAGGCAGACAGAACATGATTTAACAGTACTTTGTGAATCAATGATTGATTTGATATTTGAAGAACAGTTTGAGTCTCCTTGTTTCACTTTATGTTCTGGCAGATGCACATGTGTATATGCTTAAAGGAGCCTTGAGCTGTATGAAAGCAAGGTTTCTTGTTAGGCACAACTCAAGACCTACGACTGCTTTGGTACTGCAGGCATGGCCTCCATGCGTACAAGTCAGGTAAAAACACCAAGCTGGTTTACTCTGCAATATTGATTCACACACACACACACCAATCCTGTTCTTTGTTTCCCTGTGCCTCTTCAATTCAGCAGTGACAGCAACAGAACCACTTTATAGCAGCTGCCTTTGTTGCTTTTTCCCTTAAGTAGCTTCTTTTACCACAACCTTCAAGTTGCAGAATAGCTGAAGTGTTAGAGCATTTAGAGCTGGTGTCTTAGTTTATATATTTTATCCACTTCTATTTTCAAGAGTTAAGGAAGTGGTATGGGGAAAAACCCCTACTCTAATTTCTTTTTAGGCTTCCCACAGAAATTGAGTGTGGTTTGATTTTTAAACAAATCTTTTTATGACTTTTTTTGATGTGTGGAGATTTCTGCAACTTACATCAGTTTCAAACATTACATTTGATAAAAAGTCAGTGGAAGACCTATACAACTCTACTGAGAAATGAATCAGAGATTCTATATGCAGAACAGTAGTACAATCCTTGCTGTATCAGATCAAATGATCAGACAAGACCATCAGAACAAGAAGCCGGTGAAATAACACAACTGCAATTACATGCTCAGGAACAAGTATATCAAGTAGAAATAAGGGGAGGATTCAACAGCATTAATGGGTTACTAACAAAGCACAGAGTCAAAAGTCATCCTTGCGACTACCCCTCTGTGCTCTGTAGATATGAACCTCCTTATTGGAATCATAGTGGACCTCAGATACAGAGAAACGGCCTCTCAGCATCCTCAAGAATCTGTGATCCCGTTCATAGCGGATGCGGCAGGAAAGAAGAATCACAGTTTGCTCTGAGCACAAGTGCTCCAGGGTCTGCAGCAGCTCTGCAAAAGTTTCCTCCAGATAAACGATGTCCGCACCCAGGATGAAGTCAAACGCTCCTGAGGGGAAGTTATCCAGGTCTCTTCCCCAAGTCAGTTCCTTCACCACAGCTCTCGGACGTAGTTCAGAAGGTAAGTTAGCCTCAACATTCGACTCCAGGAACTCCAGTGCTGCCGCCCTGTCTGTGATGGTGACATGAGCACCTAAAGTGGTACAGAAGTATAAATCTCAAAGACAGTCCATGTCCATAAACACAGCATTTGAACTACAGTGCTCTAAGTCAAGCAGGCTCTTACTTCCTGTTAAACATTAACAACTCCCCTGAGTTGCCTGATTAAAACCAAACAAACAAAAGAACAAAATAAGCAAAAAGATCTACGTACATCCTACCCTTCATCAGTCACTTAAGAATGTAAGGTGTACTGCACATGAAGATCAAGTTTTCAGGAACAAAAAGTATTTTCTGGAGCTTTTTCTTAGTGCATGAAAGTACAGGAGTTACTTTCTGCCTTTCCATAGGTGACAACAGAGTAAATTACAGGGATTGTTAAGATTAACCAGCTCCAATTCTGTATTTGTTCAGTAGGAAAGAGGCATCTAGAGAGCCTGTTTCACAGGTCAGACAAAAGTTATGCCTGTGTGATATTTGCACGGCATCACTGTATTTTGTCAAACTGCTTTGCTTTTTTTTATTTCAGTAGGCACCTTCCACAGCCACTAGAGCTTGGAATTACAAAGTCAGCCTGGGACAGTTAGCACAAGATAGTGCCCAGTCCCTGCTTCAGCCACAGGCAGATTACAGGCAGATCACTTTATTTCTCCAGACTTTGGGTTTCCTGTCTGCAAGATAGGCTAACAAGGCTTACACAAGCTCAGAGAGTGGTTTCTGTCTGTAGCTTTATCTGTGCTGCATACAAGGACAAGTGGAAGACAAGCACAGCATTTGCTCCCTAGGGGAGAATGGCTGCAGAACTGAATGCTGCTGAGCCGAGTACCATGGTAACAGGCATCGGCCCCAACAGGGTCCCACCATAAAGTAAACTACGGTGGCACCATCTCTACAATAAACAACACAGCAGGCTCTGAAGTCTAACAAGAAAGGAAGATGACTCAGGAAACATCACAGTTCACATATGTAGCTTTGGTGCTAACTTCTGCCCCATGCATGTAGATGTAAAAGTGTCAGTTTGAGTACAGTGGTAAATTGCTTTAAGCAAGCAAACATTAAAGCCCTTACCTAATAAGGTGGCCACTATTCCCAGCAATCCAGTTCCAGCTCCCAGCTCAATCACAGACCGATCCCTGAGATCAATGCCTCCCATCTCCAGATAAGCACTCAGGACAACAGCCTAAGCCAAGAGACAAAGGCAATTAAGCACAGAGCTCATTTCAGTCACACTAAACACAGCATTTCTGATTTATACTGAGAGAGAAGGTTATGGGAAGGGTCAGGCACTTCAGGTCTGCAGCAAGACTGTTCAGCCCCTCTCTGCCTCCTGTGTGCATGTGCAGCCTTTTTATGAGCTTTATGGAAGACTCTTATAGGCAAAACGAAAAAAGAGCCACAGAGGCTACAACCTGGATGTGGCAGCACTGCTTTATGAATCCCCAAATGTAACAGGAGTAAGAGAGAGTTGTATTTGGAAAGGAAAAGTTGTGGGGTGTCAAACGCTCTCTCTAACCCCCTTGTACAACCCCTTTATAAAACCCCCCTGTACATTGGTCAACCTCTTCATCAGGTCAATGAATGCAGAATTGCAAAAGTCCAGGAGGTTTCATAGTATCTTGCATTGTATTTCAAGAGGTTTCTGCACAATACGGGCACAACGTCAGGAAGGACACAGGGAAAGTAAAGTATGACAACTTCTGTTTGTAAGGAAGCAAACAGAACAAACAAAGAAGTAAACTTCTATGTTTGCATCTAATGTGTTGTGTTTTACTTGATAGGGAGCTCTCTCCATAGCAAGTTCTGTCAAAGCCAACATTAGGAAACACCACCAGTCCTGCGCACCAATTCATACCAGAAGGTTGCTAAAATTATGCTTGTTCTTTAAAACCAGAGGTAAAAGGGCAGCCTGTGTGTGGACAGAGACCAAACTGATGGGAGCCCACGATTCCTACTGCGGTACCACGATGGACTGCCCCGCAACCCCGGACCAGCCACAAACCCCTCTGTTCTGGAAGGCTCTTATACCCAAGATAACGTCTATGAGCAGTCCTTGACACTACAAGCAGCAGTGCTGTGCTCTGAAGGGCATTAAGCGAACACTATGGGCCGCTGTTGATTGACGGGTGAGAGTTCTGTGAGCTACCAAGAGTATTTCCTGTATCGGGCACTGGGCATGCAGGGGTTTGGGTGTCCTGTTTCCCTTAAAGTCCTCCAGGATCTCTTATGAGGGGAAAAAAGGTAAAAATACCAACTTTTGGTGGGAAAAAAAGGGGGGAAAGAGGAGAAAGGTGGGGGAAGCCTTCCCTTAGCAATACAACATTGAATAGTTTTATACGGTGATTCTGAAAGCTGGGGCAAGCGCTACGGGAAGCCATCACTACAGAACCGCTTGTCTCGGTGCGAACACCTACCGCATCCCAGACCACGGCCGCCACCCCGAGCCGCCGCCAGTCCTGCTTGATGCGGATGGTGCGGCTGACGAAGCGGTAGGTGGCCGAAGGGCTGTGCAGCTGCCGCGCTACCCAGCCCGCGCCCTCCTGGTAGGGGACCAAGGCCATCCCGCGGCCCAGCGGCGGGGCCCGGCGGCCGCAGCCCCGGCGGGCAGCGCCCACGCTGTTCCTCAGCCGGTCTGGGCCGGTTGCACTCCGCGCTGGCTCCCGAGGCCGAGCCGAGAGCAGGAAAGGCCCGGCTCCGCGCTGGGCCCGGCCCCTCGCCGCCCGGCCCGCCCGCTACTCACGCGTGGCAGCCCCGCAGGCCCCGCGGAGCTCCCGAGCCGGCCCCCAGCGTCTTGGCCTGGGGCGGGTGCGGCCTCCCCGGGCCGCCTCCCGGCTGCGGAGCGGCGGCGCTGGCGATCAGATCACGGGTAAAGAGGGACGAGCCCCGGGGTGGGAGGGCTCCTGCCCTCAGCCGCGGCGGGAGAGGGAGCGAGGAGAGGGGAGAACGCAAGCCGTGGCTGCCCGCATGGGCCGGGGCAGGTGCGGGACAGCACAGCCTCAGCAGCATGCAGTATGGCACCACGCAGCCTCTGGCTCGGCAAGGGCTGCAGCATCCCAGAGGGAAAAAGCACGGCACTATTTCCTGCAGGAGGCCGGGGCTGCATTTTGAGAGCTACGTGCCATGCAGAAAGGTATGAGATGCGAAACACCCTGCGGGACATTGTCTGCTGTCCCCACTGCCTCTCTGTGGTTCCAGCCCATGGCCTTTGTTTCAGGGGTTTCTGGAAGTCAGTGCACGGGAAAGGGGGTTGTCCAGCCCACCGGCCTCATCCGGTATTGCCAGCATGGTGAATGTTGTGTCTGCAAGTGTGCATAGCCAGACTGGAAGCGGTCCCTCAATAGCTGGGTAACCGTTGCAGAAGCACAACACTACTTACAGAATCATAGACTCATAGAATAGTCAGGGTTGGAAAGGACCTTAAGATCATCAAGTTCCAACCCCCCCTGCCATGGACAGGGACACCTCACACTAAACCATGTCACCCAAGGCTCTGTCCAGACTGGCCTTGAACACTGCCAGGGATGGAGCATTCACAACTTCCCTGGGCAACCCAGTCCCTGCCTCACCACCCTTACAGTAAAGAATTTCCTCCTTATATCGAATCTAAACTTCCCGTGTTTAAGTTTTAACCCATTACCCCTTGTCCTATCACTACAGTCCCTAATGAAGAGTCCCTCCCCAGCATCTCTACAGGCCCCTTTCGAATACTGGAAGGCTGCTATGAGGTCTCCATGCAGCCTTCTCTTCTCCAGGCTGAACAGCCCCAACTTTCTCAGCTTGTCTTCATATGGGAGGTGCTCCAGTCCCCTGAACATCCTTGTGGCCTCCTCTGGACTTGTTCTAACAGTCCCGTGTCCTTTTTATGTTGAGGACACCAGAACTGCACACAATACTCCAAGTGAGGTCTCACGAGAGCAGAGTAGAGGGGCAGGATCACCTCCTTGGACCTGCTGGTCACACTCCTTTTGATGCAGCCCAGGATACAGTTGGCTTTCTGGGCTGCAAGCGCACACTGAAGCCGGCTCATGTTCATTTTCTCATCGACCACACCCCCAAGTCCTTCTCCAGGGCTGCTCTGAATCTCTTCTCTGCCCAGCCTGTAGCTGTGCCTGGGATTGCTCCGACCCAGGTAGGACCTTGCACTTGGCATGGTTAAACTTCATGAGGTTGGCATCAGCCCACCTCACAAGTGTGTCAAGGTCCCTCTGGATGGCATTCCTTCCCTCCAGCGTATCAACCGAACCACACAGCTTGGTGTCATCGGCAAACTTGCTGAGGGCGCACTCAATCCCGCTGTCCATGGGATACTGATACTTGTGCACTGACCACGTCAGTAAAGCTGAAGTTGTTCTTGGCGCGTGGTGTGGCGGCAGTGCTCCTGCAGCGTTGTTTGCGCATGGGCTTTTCTTCACCTTTGGCTCCATTTAATCTCTTGTTTGGCAGAACAACACAGTGCACCTCTCCTTTGTATGTCTTCATCTCCAGTTACTTGAACTTGCTCCAAAGGTGGCTAAAGGCCACGGGAGGGCCGGGGAAGTGTCCTGGCAGCGCCTTGGCTGCCTGGAGGCGTTGCTGCAGGTACTCCACAGAAAGGCACAGGACTCTCAGCCATGCTCCTCAGCCCCTGATTGGAGCTAGGCTTCATTTGTGGGGGGCCACACAGAGGGGAGCGCGGCAGGGGAGCAGCATGCCTTCCCTGCATCCATCTCCAGTGGCTGTGTGGCTTGGCAGCTCCCAGTGGCATCACCAATGAGGCAAGACCAGCCAGCCCTCAGTGCTGGGGAGCATGAACAGCTCCAGAAATCCTCCCCACTCTTTCCCACAGGGAGCAGCAAATCTGGCTGGCACACAAATGCAAATGTGGCTACATCTAAAGGCTGTTGATTTCAACAGAGTGGCTCATGATGCATGAAAGACTTTGTGGAGGAGCATTACAGGCTGCACAGGGGTAGCAGGAACTGAAGCTTGTTTTTAGGGTTCTGCTACTGTAAGGGAACGGAAACCAGAATTTCACTTGCCCCAAACCAGTTCATACTTGTCTAATGGCAACTCAGATTTCTCCAAATAAACATGCCAGAGCGGGTATGATGATTCAGCTTACTGTGGGTTTATGTCCTAAAGTGCTGCTCCCTTGCCACTAGTACTGCTTTGGAGAGTTTGAAACTGCTTGTGCTATTATCTCAATGGTTTTTTTAATTAGTTATATGGGCAGTGGGAAAAGCAATGGGAATGATTATATCTGACATGAGAGCTCTGCTTGGATGAGTTTTGAGTCTCTTACACTGTGCCTAAACTGCAACCACCACATAAATGAAGGGAAACTCCCAAATGGCACAAAGCTTTCGCCCACATCTCCTGTACTGTGTGCCAGGCCTGAGATCTCCCAGTGAGATGTGGAGTGTAGCAGGGCTCCCGTGCTCCCAACTGCCCCCCACTTCCCCTACTCATTCCCCCCATCAGGTGTCTTCCCTACATTATTTCATAAGAGCAAGGGTCTGGCTGAATAGCAGCTAGAGTGAAAAAAGGCTGCATGTGAAAAGGTGTACATTTGTTCCCAAAGGTGATACTGCAGGGAGTGCTTTTATCCCAAGAGCATGTTTTTCTAAGTCAGAGATCCCTGAGTATCTTTGGAGCCCAGCAAGTTCCCTACCAATCCTGTCCTGATTCCCAGAAGTATTTTCCCTGTCTTCCCTGCTAATGTTACTTTAGCGCTGACTTCCACGAGCCTTAGACAAGAGATCAGAAATTACTTTCCAGGTCATAACTGAGTAGTGAAGCTATTAGAAATAAAGCAGTTCCACTAGAAGTTCAGTAAGGGCCCTGATTCCCTGTATTCATTCCAAGCCTATATTTACCTGCTTTTGCTATTTCCATATCCATTTTCTAAGAAGACACAGTACCTGGGTATTATTGTGGTAGAGAAAGACACTTGGTTTCTTCCACCCATCCTGACAGTAAAAGGATAAGGAAAATGCAACAACAAAGAATTATGGCTAAAACAGTTGCCCAAAACTGAAATGCTTTTTCTCGCAGCAGCGCTAGAGCGTAGCACAACAGTAAAGGTGCAAGAACATAGCCTGATTCAGCTTTTAAACACTGCAGAAGGCTGTAAGGACACCTAAGCTGCAGATAAACTTGTAAAGTAGGAACAGCTGATTATAAGGTAAGCAAGAAAAGCGTAAGGAAACACCAATTCAAGTCTGTTCTTACCTCATTCAGCTATTTGATAGGGCCAGCATAATGTGTCCAATTATAAGTAAATCCTGCTACTTCAGATGCAGGTAAGCTGCTTGGGATAGTTAAGTGTTTAAGAGCAATGGTCCTTGTATTAGAAGATCAAAGAATCGAGTAGATAAGACAGAAATGAGAACAGATTATTGTGAAGCTGTACTAATATACCTTCCTTTCTGAAATCTTCTCTGTCCTGCTTAATATTTAAAATCCTGTGTTAGAAATGAACGTGACAGTTCTTGCGATAGTTGTGCAGCCAATGCATGTAACACTGCACGGCTGCGCATGGATTTTGGAGCCATCTATGATGTGGGGAAGATGCTGCATCCCTCACGCAGTCTCTGGTTACCAAGGCAAAGGCAGGTATAAATAGAAACAATCTGATTCTTATCTTTTTTTAAAACTACATCTAGAAACTTGTGTTGTTGATAACCCTCTGTCAGCAACACCTCATTCCAAATGGTTCTGTTCTACATTGGTGTAGAAACTTCTGGTCGTACACATTCAATCCTTTCCTCTCTAAATAAATAGCAGCTACTTCTGGTTGTCATTCCAGTGAAATATGAAAAACGTCTCTTTGAAGTAAAGTTTAGACAAACATCTATTTTGCTAAGAGCTTTCATCAACCAAACCAACACCAGCTAACACAAAGCTTGGCAGGAAACCCAGAAAGGAAAGCAGTCTTTCTCCCGAAGTGTCACCATTAAGTGGCCATTCAAATGACTAGCAGTGAAATGATGAAACAATTCTCACAGTTTTGTCTTCAGCAGTAGCTTCCAAGATTGTCCACACCATGGGGATGGATGGGGCGGTAAATCACGCGCTGTTAAATACAAAGGGAATAAACCAGAGATTAATTTGGCTGATGATGGCTTGCAGTTGCAGAGTGAAGACAGCCTCATCTTGAAGTGATCTGGATCAGCTTTAAAAACAATGGGGTGAACTACAAATAAAACCTTCAGTGCAGAAAGTGACGGGTTATCAGTAGACCTTTTATACTTGCTGCTTCAGCAAGATCCTTGCAAGAAATGCTCAGTGTGGTCTGATCTAGCATGTCATTTCCTTTACACGCAGAGTTACATTAAGCAGTTGAAGTAATGATCAGAAGTACAAAGATGTATAATTTTGTAAGTGCTTGAGCTGAAATGCAGGAAGTTTCTGGACCCTCTGAAGAGGGAGAAATTCGTATCAGTAACATTCAACCTCGCCTCTTGATAATCTGTCAACCATAATCACCACGTTTATTAAGATGTCTTGTTACAGAAAGATCACTTTGCTTTTAGTGGAATTCCGTGACTGATCTCTCAAAGGCCTTGCAGGTCTGAAAGCTGACATTATTCTGAAGCTTCAGTTAACGAACAAAAAGCAAAATGAGTAAGCTCTTCTTTGCAGACCTGCAGCCTTACCCATGTCTCCAGCTGCTGGAGTTCTAGGCCATGAGGTACGGCTTGCCAGGTCTTGTGACAGGAGAGTCCTGAACCCCCTGCAGGGAGACAGATGCATGAACAGGCATCACTGCACACTGGGGCAGGGCTGCTCCAGCGTTCCTGCTGTGGGAACTGTGGGCACAGGGCAGAGGTGTGGAAATGGCAGCAGGGTGCTCTGACCGCCCTCCTCTCCCAGCAGCTTCTGGCTCCTTGCAGGTGGTTGCATTCCAGGGTAACGTGTGTCTGGCATGTGGGATACTGGGGAGGGGAAAAATGTTGCAAAACACTGAGTGTGGTTGGGGTCTGATTGTGGCTCTAGAGGCTTAATGCTAGGTGGCCAGATTTCTGATGTGCTTTATAGGTGCCATGTTAGATAACTGGAGGGGAAATTACAGTGCAAGCAATGCACTGTATTAATGTAAAACTTGTTAACAACAGCTAAATTAAAACAAAAGCAATTATAAAGACAGGCAAACAACAGCTATAGCATGAGATCCAAATTTAGGAAGAACATGAAGGTTTTAGTGTTATTTGCAATGGTATTGGCAGTGTTTCTCTTCTCCGCTCCTTAGAAAGAAAGACAATGGAGAAGGAGGAAGAGTCAAGCCTAAGCAATTTCAAAGCTAACAAAAAGGGCTCCTCAGGATCCGCCTTGCAGGCTTTGGTGGCCCAGGGTTGGAATGAAACCTTTAGAAGTTTACCCTAAACAAACTTACTGCAGGGCTTATGCATGCAATTTGGTGCTTCTGAATGAAGTCACACACTCGTGTTAATGTTTGTGTTAAAATACTGGAAAGTATTTTCCTTTTCCTCATAGGAAATCTGTACCCATGACCTGCAGTTTCTAACAGTTGGTACATCAGAACAGTAGTTCTGCCAGCCCTCTGTCCAAGAGCATACAAAGTATATCTTTGCAGGCCTCTATCTTGGCTTCAGCCCATCTCAAATTCTCTCCTCAGGTACTAAGTCTCCATTAACTCTTCCTTAGCCTTTGATGACTGTGAAGCTGGTTTTATTTTGCCTTAAGACAAAATGAAGTTGGATCAGAAAAGAAAAGCTAAGGTAAGGAAACATTAACTCCCATATGTCTGTGCTGTTGGTATCCCTGCAGTGATCCAGATGCTCGCATGCTAGCCAAGAAGCCTCTGCATTGCCTGTGATGACATCTTAGATTGCTGCAGAGGCGAAGGACGGATTTAATCAATGACACGAGCACTGCAGTCTCCTTATGCTATGAAACAGAGGCTCCTGGCCCTGATTTGCATGAGTCACTACTAGCCAAGGGTAGTACAGAAGATTTTAAATCATTAAAATGTAGGGCTACTAAAACTCCATCTTGTGTGTTGTGAACAACCTCACTGGTTACTCTGTTTCCCCAGAAACATTGGGATTTACTATTTCCCTAACTATTGTTTTGCTTCAAGCTTTTTCCCTTAAATGGCCATAGTCTTACGTTACTTATCAGCTTCAAAAGACGATCAGGCACGCAGTATTTTTGTCCTGTCAGCTGGTGGTGGATTTCAAAACAGGATGCCTATTTTTTCCCCCCATTATTTGTAACAGTGAGACACAGAAGTCTGAGCTTTTGTTTGCAGCTGGTTATACAGGTTCAACCTAGTGATTCATTCTTCCTGCAGCTACATTTCCAGGAAAAGACAAAGTCCTGGCTCTTCTCCAAGTTATCCATAGGCTGCTTCAGAGTAAGATCAGAAAGCAGTCCCTCTCCGACAGCTGGGACACTTTCTAAGAAGAGAGGAATTGAACGCAACACATCACAGAGCTGGTGTTATCGCCCTGCAGACAAGCAAGGAGGCACATGGCCTTGGAGAGGCATGTGCAGTCCTAAGTCAAGGTGCAGATAACAGCAGAATTCACAGGATTTAAGACTCTTGCTCTAGTGAAGCACAACTGAACATTTGCGAGGAGCCACTCTCCATTTCTGGGACTGATGGTGACTGTGAAGCTGGATGGTTGTGGAAAACCCTGCAATTTCATCCCTAGCATGTTAGGAGACTCTGCTTCATGTTGCAGTTGGTGTAGTCAAGAAGAAAAATTCCCTTGGATTTGGGAATTTTTCAAGAGTTGTTATTCAGTTAGGAGCTGGTAACTATGGTTTCAGACGTTTCCTCTCAGGGATACTGCTCACGGATGAAGGGAGGCCTGGTTTTGCATCATGAAGCAAGAGACTACAGGGTTGTGTGTTTATGAATGTAAACTCTAAGATTTCAGGGAGGGGGTTAAATAAAAACATGCACAAATCTACCTGTAAGTAACCATCACAGGAAATGTAAGGACTTGTCTGAGAAGTGGAGCTTCTTTGAACATAGGCAGACAGCAGCTCACACGCACAGGGCAAACAGGCCAAGGAAAGAGAGAATTATCTTCCCCTGTAAGCCCACAAGCCAAAACACAGCTGGTAGCACTAACATTAGTCCTGTCAAGCCTGGCAGTCTTCAGTTATTATGCACCCTGCAAATAATTATACATATACTTAAGCTTACAGCCCAGAAGCTGCAGTCAGTAGCTGGCAGGGATACAGTTCCTTGCTGGTATAGATCCTTTGACCTCATTAGACTCACATCAGGACTTAATCTGGTCCTTTGTATTTCAGAATAAATCATGGGTCTTTTCCATCTCTGCATCTCAGACATAAAGGTTGCTCCTCCTTCAGCTGTCATCACGACCTGACTTTGGTTTTGTTTCATGCTCCTGCCTGGCTTTCCTTACAGTCTGTGTGGAGTTCTCCTTACAATTACAGCAACTTCCCCAGAGGGCTTAAATTGTGACTCGTTTCCCACAGTTTGAAAAGCTGCTTTCCGTGTTGTGAGAATTCAAGCAAACGCACCCTCTCCCCACCATGCATTATTAGACGTTAAACATGAGCCATCCCATGGTGGAGGAATGAAGGCTGTATGACAAACTTGCTCTCTTTAGGGAATAGTGACACTAAGTACCGAATTTATAAACTCCCATCTGCTCTAGTGTTAACACATGCTGGAATCCATTCGGCAGTCAGTACCTTTGAGCTATTACTTTGTAGGTTACATGTAGGTCACATTTTCTTTGAGAATTACTTTTTATCTTCATAACAGCAAGATTCAGGTTGAAATCAAAAAGAAAGCAAACCCACAACGCCAGAACAAGCCAAAGCTGCTCTGCTCCTCTCTGCTCCCTGGGACAAAGATGCAGGATGCTTGTGAGGAACAGACGTAAGGACTGATCCTTCTTTCCCTTAAGTGACTGAAACCTGTTAGGTGTCACCTGCAACTGAAACAGGAAAAGAGAGAAAACTAAAAATTCCTAGAATGCTTTCATTCGAGGCTCACACCTGCCTAAAATCCAGGACTTTGGTCTGTGCCTTCGTTGCCTGATTTATCCTAGTCTAATGCAGCGGTGTTCAAATAAAACTAAACATAGTCCCTATCAGGTTAATTGAGCATGAATGCTCAGCACTAATCCAAAGTACAAATACTGCATGCATTTAAAGCTGAGCGATAAACTGTGTTCTCATCCCATAGTAAAAAGCTTTCACCATCTTAAGAAGTGTTTGCCCAGTGCAGAGGATGACATGAGTTCTTTCTGATTTGTTTGAATTTTGTCTGCAAACATGCAGATTCAAGCCCCATTCCAAAGAGGCCGTAGCTTGTGATGAGGCCTCTTCCCAAGTGCCTGCCATTGGCTCAAAGAGAACAAGCAAATACACACATGAAACACACTTCCATCAATTGCAAAGTCTCTTTTGTGGCGTTCACCCATTACAACTTGAAGCTGGAGTGTCCTTCCCAAGCAAGTTGCAGAAACAACGTGTTGCCATCAGTGGGACTGTCGCTTCCCAGTGTAACCCTCTGCTCCTCCCTGGGAATAGCACTAGTTCTCCCCTGTTACCTGGGACAATCTTATTGCTCCTCCGCAGCTGGACTTAGTAATCTTTATGGGACAGCCCTGTAATCAGGAGAGCTCAATAAAACTGACCCACCTCCCTTGCACCATCATCTGCATTGGGAATTGCCCTTCCCTGGCCGCAGCCCTGGTGAACCAGGACAGCCCTGGAACCAGGAGGGGGGTGAATGCTGCAACTAATGGGAAACACATCCGGAAGAGTGGAAAGCAGTTCAGTGCAACAGGTTATGTAAAAGCACAGTATTTGGTATCTGTGAGAGGGCGTGCTGCCCAGTGGGTGCCCTGCTCTGAGAGAAGGGCAGCAACTGAGAGTCCCGTGGCACAGACCTCTCTTCCTGGAGCAGCAGGAAAAAGGGGCTGGATCCCAATGGTCTGTAGTAAGCTATTCTCAGCTTATGTATTTGATATTGCCAAGATCTGACATCCGAAACCCCTGCTTATGGAAAATGTGGAACTAGGTGTGTGCTGCCCATTGTACATCAAAGTAATTGATTCCTTTATAATGGAAGCTGTCTGATGATTCACTAGGGTAAATCAAGCAAAATAGGAAGACAAGATGGAAAACAGGAAGAGAAACAGGACTAGTAGTAAATCATGATAGATGGTATTCAGGATATTGCTGGAGCAGTAAGTCAATAGAGTGCTAAGCTACATGAATAAAAGATAATGTGTTTCATCTCTGCAGGGTGTTGCTCAGGCTGTTCCTATTAACAGGATCACCTGGTTCTGCAGCAAATATGCACAGCAACAGGTTTTGTCATATCATCCTGATAAATCAGACCAGTATTAAGATTTTACGAGTTCATTTGCCAAAATGGAGGGGGGGAATGAATATTCCTCATTGCTGCAGCTACAGGCAAACATGCACGGTTGTGGAAAAATACTCTTCAGTGGTGTACTGAGGTATGTGGAAGCGGAAGCTTAAATTCTTCTGGAATGACGGGGAGGTGGGACAGTTTGCTGTTTCTGTGATTTCCAGGGATTAAAGTCAGCTTCCTCTTGCTTAAGACCTACAAGAATAAGGCTACGCACGGAAGCAGACTGACTTCTTTCCTCCCTCTGCATGTTTGTATAAACCCTGATGCTGCACAACAGCGCTAGCGTGGGGGAAGAGCAGCCCTTCTCTCTTCCCCTTTGCAGCATTACACACTGAGAACAAGTATGAGACCCATGGGAAACTTCAGCCTGTGGGATGCAGAGGAGCTAAAACCTTCATGCCCACATAGCAATGAGCCACGTCACATACTCCAGCCACTCCAAGTTCCCAGCATTTTTCATCTATCGGGACAGTTATGTGGGGTTTTGGCTGCTGCCCTCAGTGGCTGGGCCCTGGCCCTCGGCTGCCTGGTAAGCCACTCGTGCTCACTGCTTCTGCATCCCTGAACAAGGATTTTCCACTTCCCAAACCCACAGCTTTGGCAATGGGCTCCAAAGTACAGGCTTAGCAGAGGTCCCAGCTCCACCGCAGACAGGCAGCACCAACGTATGTATGTGCTGGTGCAGCTGCAGGGAACAGGGTGGACACGGTTTATGGAATGGGATGCTCAGCGTCACAGCTGTGTGGCTGAGATGTGTGGATTTGCCTGTGATTCCTGCCACTGCTCCACATGGAGCAGGATCTCCTCTCCCAGCGTTGAGCCGCTGGACAAGGTCAGAGTACAGCGGGAGTGCAGCTTGCTCAGGCACTGCCACTCTTAACACAGAGCCAGCCATGTGAAACAAGAGAACTGCTTTTCTGGGGTAAGAGGGTGAATTACCCCAGTTTGTATTAAATAGTGCCGTGCAAGCCAGCTCTTATTCCTGCTTGAGAATTAATTACTTCACTAAACCACACTGACTCTTCACCTTTCTTCTCTTCCCCACCATCCTCACCAAACATCAGTGTATGCGGTGCCCGAGGGAAGAAAACACCGGCTTCTGCATGGCTGTTTGGCATGAAGCCCCTTTTCTCCCTCCCTGACTCAAGTGACTCTGCTGTCCTGATCAATGGTTAAGTCCAGTCCTTCCTACACCTGGGAGTAGGACCCCGCTGTCCTACAGCTTTGTTCCACGCAGAGTACAGAGGCTGTGGAGGCATGCTGCGCTGAAGTGGTTCAAAAAGCACTGAAAGCAAATCTCCTCTGAGGCCCTCGTGTAATCCACAGCGAGGTCAGATTTCTCTGGAGTAACAAGGCTTTACAGACTGTCAGCAGCGTGTAGAGAGGCTTAGCTAACGCAGTTCAGAGAACTTGCCAGAAGTGGGAAAGTATAATTCACCAGTCTGAAGGAGTAATCCTCATAGAAGATTATAAATCATTTAGTTCCTCCCTATATTATTCCTCCTTTATTCCTCCCTGGGATTAAGCTGTACAGATTCTAGAAATGCAGCACCTATGACTGCCTCCCTTCAAAGAAACCACCCATGGTTTTGTCTGAAAACTGCGTCCATGATCACATGAGAGAGCCAATGTTAGGATTTGTTCTACAAAATGGGGCAAAACCCCGAGCCCACCTATCTCTGGAATAGCTGCCAGCATGATAGCAGCGTTTTGTAATACTTTGTGTGCTCTGAAGTCTTCTGCTGAGCCATTCTTCTTATCAGGGGCCAGAGTTAAATTTCTGTAGCAATAGTGAGGTGATCCATTGCAGAATGACCTATGTTCATGTTTATCAGGGCCTGTGGGTATCTTGCCCTCTAATCCATCTTCCCTGGAGTGTATTTGAGCATTCCAGTCCTCTGAGGAGTTCTCAGGTAGCCAAGACTCACCAAGCAAAAACGCAGCAGTGCTGGAGGCTCTCTATACAGTCCCAGGAATCCCAGCGGCCACATGTAGTGTTTCATCCCCAGGCTGCACGCAGGTAATGCACAGAGCAGCAAATGTAAGCTGTAAGTGAGCAGCATTGCTTATGCTCAACCGCTTTGAGGGACATTGAAGTCATGGAATCAGAGAATCATAGGACAGTTTGGAAGGGACCTTCAAAGCTCACCTAGTGCAACCCCCCTGCAATGAGCAGCCACATCCTCAACTGCATCAGGCTGCCCAGAACCACATCCAGCCTGGCCTTGAATGTCCCCAGGGATGTCACATCCACCGCATCTCTGGGCAACTTGTGCCAGGGTTTTAACACCCTCATTGTAAAGAATTTCTTCCTCACGTCCAGATGGAATCTGCCCTCTTTTAGTTTAAAACCATCACCCCTCATCTGTCACAACAGGCCCTGCTAAAACGTCTCGCCCCAACTTTCTTACAGGCCCCTTTTAGGTACTGAAGGGCTGCAATAAGTCATCAGAGTTGATCACAGAGCTCCCAGGTGGCTGCTGCAGCCCCCAGCTCCGTCTGGCACGTGGAAGCACGGGCTGCCCACTTAGGATGCATGGGGACAGGTGGGCAAAACACCCCAGAGCAACCCAGGAGCTCTTGAAAACCTTTGCTAGGTGGTATAAAGAGACAGTGTGATCACAAACAGCCTTTTAAACTAACAAGTGCAGCACCGCGGCTGCCTACATCCTGCACTGAGCCTCCCTGGACTGCTGTACATAAGCACTGTGGAGGCAGCACACAGCATGCAGGCAGGGTATTGCTAGTATTATTATTTATTTATACATGTGTCTGGTTTATTATACCATATTATTGCTTTTTATTATTGTTTCTTAATGACTTCATAGAGTGACATGGTTTAGTGTGAGGTGTCCGTGCCCATGGCAGGGGGTTGGAGCTGGATGATCTTAGGGTCCTTTCCAACCCAAACCATTCTGTGATTCCATTCTCTTGTTATTATAGCGTTACTATACTTCAACGCTGCAGCTCCAGCTGCACCACGTGGACGCCGACCAGCCCGACCCAGACGCACGGAGACTGGGAGAGGGGGCGTGGTCAGGGGGGCGTGGTCACGCCAGGGAGCGTGCCGGGGGGGCGTGGCCTAAACGGGACTGCAGCCGGCGCGCTGCGTGTGCGTGCGCGCGTGGGGCAGGAGCGGGGCAGGCCGGGCAGGGCGAGGCGACGGCGGCGGCGTGACGAGCGCCGCG